TACGATCCGGGCACGCCAAGTTTTTGTATTTTACTTTTGTTTTATGCCCGTTTTATGGGATCTATTATCTTGGGTCCAATGCTTGGCTAATTACGTTGATTGTCTCTTTTTTGTTTTTTATATAAAAAAAAAGTTTTTTAATATGGTTTGTATATTTTTTATGTACTTTTTTAAATTGCTGTAATTATGCAAAATTGACTTGTACGCGGAATTTATAATTAATATTTTAATTAACTGACAATTAAAATATAAAAGTACGCGTTACATACGTACAAACACACGTCAAAGTCGCACGTCGCGGTTAAGAATAGATCGATATGTTCGCGAAGTTTGCATTTTCCTATCTCGCCTTTATCCGGTTTCGACGTGTAGAAGACGAGATTGTAACTAGAAAAGTGCAAACAGTTGCGCAAAAGTTAGATTGGCGAAAGCTAAATATAATCGATTTCATCGCGTGTCACGAAGATATCACGATTACTGATAATGAGTCATCGTTCGCATTAGCAAACACGGTGTATTTTGTGTTTCTCTCGCGGGTGTTTTGTTCGTTTCGATTATTTAATAAAGCAATATAAGTTTTCTCCATCGCGTTAAACATATTGACTTTAACTATTCTATTTTGAAAATTATGTTACAACGTTGCGTGCAAACACGTGTGCGTTATCGTTCTCTCTCTCTTCCTCACGCGTTTCAACTTGATTCAGAGCAACGAGATATTAGATAAACATCGAAAACAGATGCCAATTGGCACATATTTACAGCACGATTCGCGGTAATCGCTGTCTCTCACACACACGGATAGGGGACATTCAAAACATCATTTGTTTACGTTAACGAAAACTACACCTAACAACAATTTGCAAACGATCATAAATTTTCATGCAACTTATCAACGATGTGAAATATTTTCGTTAATTAAATTAACGAAAATAATAATTAATTTTGTAAACGTTGTTTTTTTTTTCCAGGTATCCTGGACATTTGTGTGTCTGACGTGATTTTTTTATTGGTTAAAATGTTGCAAAAATTCTGTAAAACTCTTCACGGAGTTTTATACAACATCTTCTATATCAAGCAAGCTTCTTGTATTAAGAAAATAACATTAGTTTTGATAAATTTTTTATGTTTTTAGAAATTTCTCCAGTAAATAGTTACTAAAATTTTCTCATCCTCAAGACTCGCGCGGACACATTAATGTTTGGGGTTTGACAGAATTGACTTTCTGCGATTCGCAAATCGCGATTATATATTACTTATTTGCCAATTTAAAATTATTATTATTTGCAATCGTTCAACTCACCTGCTACCTGGTCTTCTGTGAGTCCGTATTCGGACTAAAACAAACGGAAAGATTGAACATTAACTTTGTTTTTCATTGCACAAGCGCACATGTGTAAGATGATTTTTATAAATTACATTAAAACCGTTATATATATATATAATGTTGTTTTTGTTTGTTTCACGCATATAATATTTTATTGAAATAATATTACATGCATGAATAATTTATACGATTAACAAATTTGTTTAGTTCCTTGGATCTCTGTAATTATTATATATATTTATTCATATTAAATTGTTTATCTAAAATACACATGGGGGCGTGTACACGTAACGTACGTGTCAACGTTAAATGGCGTCTAGAGGTCTCGTCTTGTAGATATGGGCGAACAACCTTGCTCTAACTATGTGATTCTCTATATATACATATATATATATATACATATATATACGTATATCCGTTCTCACATAGACAAGTACTACGGAAATTTTGGCGACATGCCCGACTGTAAGAAATTCCAACGAGAAGGGAGGTCGCATGATGAATTATTAATAATAATGTGTCGCAAAACGCGATAGCAAATCTCGGAACAAAAAAACGGCGCGTCCGCGATCTCGCAATATTTACAGAAAAAATCTTCTTTAATTTCTGAACGCGCAGAAAAAAACTCTCTTTTTTTTTTTTATTATCCACAGTTTTTTCTCACTTACACTCAACTGTCTAATTTGGCCGTCGATCTTGCTGGTCAATCTACGCAGCTGTCCGTAAGCGTGCGAGTATCTCTTTTCGGTCTCCATGTGTCACCGCGGTACACGCCGATGTGCGCGCCGGAAGAATAAAAAAAAAAAAACGTCGTTAGACGACGGGCGCGATTACACGAGACGATAAATTTGAATTCTTCGAGTTTGGGTTTTCGTCGCAGTTACTTAGCCGAGTCGCCGTCGAGACGGTCGACATTTCGAGACTCCCATTAAGAGAGACGCGACGTTTCCGTCGATGTGTAAAATGAAAAGAAAAAAGAAAAAAAAAAGAGAGAAGAGCGCAAACCGCGATCTCACCCGAAAAGAAGATCGACACGTATTCGCGCGAGCGGCGGATCCGCTTTGAAAGCCGCTCGGAAAGCCGCTCGAACTAATATTTATCGGCTGCGAGTTTTTCAAGGCCGTCACTCTGAAGAAGAGACAGAGAGGAAGATAGAGCGATGCGACATATTCCGAAAGACGCTGCCCGAAGTCTCTTGCCGTCGGTCGCGATTACTTTTCGTCCGTTCGAATGGATAAAATCGGTCACGGCGTGCGTATCCGAGAGAGGAGGCAATTTCGAAACGCCGTCGTGTCGTGTTGTTTCCGCCAAAATAAAAATAACGAGTCCGAAGCGACGATCGCGCGATCGATCGATCGATCGATCGTTCGCGCGCACCAAGAACGCGTCTATGACGATCACACGAAACGACACTGTTCTTCGAGAATAATATATAATCGCGAACGAAAGAGCCAAAACACTAACACCGAATGTTGGCGGCTCGCAAGATATATTATAAACGCGCGAGAAACTCGCGAGTCGACCGGATGTCGAGAGTCTCGAGAAATTCGCTTCGAGAGACAAATTCTCGACTCTTCGCGGATTTCTTGTTCTCTTCGTCTTCTTCACTTCGCCGTCGTCTTCTTCGTCGTTTTTTTTTCTCCGTGACGTTGCTTCGCGCGTACAAAAATGAAAATTACAAAACTCGGCTGTGACTCCGAGCTTCCGGGCGCTCAAACGACGTATCGCGCGTCGGACGCGAAGAAGACGCGTTTGTTCGAGATGACAAAGACGCGCGTTTGTGTCCAAGAGAGAGACTTTGGCAACCTTAGTCTGTTTTTAACTGCCAGGTCCCCTCTACGCTCGGAGACGCCAGGTGACTAACTCCCTTCCTCGCGTCTCCTATATATTTTCGTGAATAAACATAAAACAGATTTATAGACCGAGATTCTCGCACACATACATACACACACGCCCGCGCGCGAAACCATCGTCAACAGTCTCCGGAGATTCCTGAAATAGAGCAACGCGCAATCGAGAAGCTGTCTAATTACTTGATCGACTAATCACAATCACGTCGATCCGTTCGACGTGACACAAGTCTTCCTTCGATGCGTCTTAACACGACGCACGTCGCGTTCGGCGTATACATCAGCCGAACACGAGATAGAAGCGCTTATCGATCGCTCATCGCGCATTCAACTGGGTCAGATCGTACCCGTATATTTATTAGCGTTGTGCACACACGCGTTATATATATATATATGTATATAACGCGAAGCGCGCACACGTTTAACGACGACGACGTTTGTCGCTTAAGCTATCACTCACCAAGTTAATGGTAACGATGAGATCGTACTGTTGTCGCTGTCCCTTTTTTTTGTTCTTGCCGGTCTTGACGGATGCCGCCTTGGGTGTCACTTTCACCTGGCCTTTCTGAGCGCTCGGCTTCTGAGCCGGTTTCGCGGCGACCTTAGCGCCCGGCGCGACCTTCTGACCAGCCGCCGGCGCCTTCTGACCGGAAGCACCTTTTTGATTCACATGACCCACGCCGTCCGCCGGTTTGTTGCGTGCCTACAGTCCAAGAGAGACAAGATCTCGATTAGACGACCGTGGTGTTAGAGCGACGGATTTTATCAGGGGTAGGGTAATAAATTCCGATGGGGTTAGTATGTTAGCAGCGTCGCGGGAACACATAGGTGTGTGCGCGATTATCGTTCGGTGACGCAGACCGTGATCGCGAGACCTTAATTCCTGGTAATTGCTCTTGTCTACTTACTACATTTGTATAAAATTTATCGCAAGCACGCCGATAAGAGGAATTTTCCGATGTCATTAAATTTTCTCAGATCAGAGAAATTTGAGAAATCTCTTCTATCGAAATGATATATTCCGATGTTTCACCCGCGCGAATTCGATGTGCGCGTCGAACGATTTCTGCGATTTTCGAACTATTTTAAAAGACATATTCCGCGATATCACGCGATGATATATTTTTATATTTAATATTCACAATCGCGTCGCGTGTTCCGATCGTTACTCGGCGCGACGATATCGTTATCGCGCGAAATCAATTTAATATTTTTGCGCGGGAGTTATTTTTAGAAACCGTCTAAGGGCGCGATTTGTAATTTGTTCGGGAAAACACGCGATTCTGCGAGACAAAAAAAAAAAAAAAAGAAAAATTGCGGGGTTGAGCGAAAGATTGAGAGAAAGAGTTCAATGACCATTTTTATTATCTCGATAACGCGAGAATGTTTGTTGAGAAAAAAACTCACGGTGCGCGCGACGAATTATATTATTCGTCGTTTTGTCTCAAAATAGTTTCTTCGTTCTAATAAAGACTGTGAATGAAGACTGTGCGTGCTCTTCGCGCGCGTGGGCGAAGAGACGAGGGGAGACGAGGAGATAATTATAGCAGCTCTTACCGGTGTGATCTTGATGAAGTTTACGACTTGCGTACGCGAGATTACATCGCGCGCGCGCGCGCGAGAAGGAGACAGAGATAGGGAGAATACAATGTAGAGTATTAGATTCTATCGTTTCTAATTTGAATATTTCCAACCTACCTACGAAGGTCTCTCTCTACTTTCCACACATTCTGTTGAGATAACAATAATTCCTCGATACTTACGTTTCTCGCATATTCATTTGTAGATCGTTGATAGACGGCTTTTCATTGCGATACGCAAGATAAAAAAAAAATAAAAAAAAAAAAAAAATGAATTCAACATGCTGTAAACACTGTTTGTCTCGCTATGCGGCAAGAAGAAGAAGAAGAATTGAAAACTGAAGGCGTTATATTATAAAGTGAGCAAATAACGTGAGTGAATAACGTTTGAGTTAAAGTAGAGGTAATTGAATTTCTCCACGATCTGTGCAACAACACAACGGTGTGTATAATGTAATAATGTAATACCGCATAATTGCGAAAAATGCAAATTGCCCAAAACACAGCAACTCGAAGCAGCGATGCTTTAAAGCGGGGATCTATCTTCGAAGCTAATTTGAATTTCTAATGGAATAAAATTAGAGCGTTGCACGAAAATAACATCACGTCTCTCTAATGTAGACGCTTCGCACCTATTTATGTGTAAATAAAAAAAAAGCCGATTATTGCATTATTGCGCAAATACTTCTGACGGCGATATACATTCTTACACCAAGTGTGATACATCCCACACTTCGTCAAGCTTTCTCTGAATTGATATAAAGCTCATTTTTCTGTTCTAAGTTTATTTTTTTTTTTTTAGTTCGCAACGATCGTTTAATTACGTTCTTTCGAAACGCGAAATCTCACATATCTGCAAATTTCGCTTTTTTTTTTTTTTTTTTCTAGTATTTGTTTCCGGTTATAAACATCGCATCGCGTAGCATCGATTTGACACGTCGCAGTTATTGCACGTTATATGCGTATTTGGCAATTATACGTGCCAACGAGGGTCGTTAACACGGTAACAAACATACACGGTAACAACTCTCGTGTAAAACCAGAGGGTCGCGAGAGAGATTCGACAGAAACGTGGGAAAATGGTCGGTACCGGCCCATCGATCGGGGACCGGCCGTATACGGTAAGCGCGATCGTTCGTTGCGCATGCGACGGGAACGGATCGATCGAACCGAACTGTGTATCAAAAGTGTATCAAAACACAAGCGGAAACTCGTCATTCGATATACACACTCGCGCGTTTATCGCATGCAGCCAGCGACGTTTTTTTTTTTTTTTTTTTTCGGAAAGATTTCCGAATCGCGATACGATAACGGAAGTTGTTCTCGAATAACACGACGTCGCAAAAACGTCGTCGTCGTCGATCGCGCGCGTTGCGCAATTTGAAACTTTTTCACTTAAGAAGATACTTAATAGAGTCTCTTTCTCCTAACGTCTTGCTAACTAAATTTGATTCAACCGACTCTAATATCTTAAAAGTGAATCTCGGATCTCTGACGCATTTTATTCGATTTAAAAAAAAAAAAAAATTTGTAAAAATACCAACTATACCTATATATATATTTTGTTTATTTAACGAAAAACAAAAATAGCTTTGCGTATAGTTTATTTTTAATAATTTTCATAAAGAGTTTTTTTTTGTTTTTGGAACGAAAAAGATCGAATGTAGGTTAAATTGCATTTCGGTGCGCAGTTGCACGTGCGCGTTGCGTCGAGAATTGTGAAACGAAGAATCCTTTTAATCGACGTGTAGAGAAAGATGCCGATATATATCACAGCAACTTAGCGTCAAGTGGCACTCGACTCTTGTCGAGATTTTCAAGACCCACTCGGCTTCGTATCTCATATACACGGTAGCCGCGCGCGTGTTTGCAAAGCTCTCGTTGTTTTCGAGCTCGCGTAAGAGTATAGAGATACTCACCCCTTCGCGTGGAACAGACGGGGGGGAGGGGCGGGGAAAAGGAGGAAAATTAATAACGATCGCTAATGGAATGCTCGCGAAAGTTTCTCGTGGTGGCGAGACGGCCGGGAGGGAACGGACGACTTGCTTTCGTCCGGTCGATTAGATCGGATAACGCGTGCATCGTGTCCATTTATCGTCCGTGTGCCGCCAGCGCATAGTGTGCGCCGTTTACATACGTCGAGTATACGTTGCGATCGCGGAAATGCGGATTTGGGTCGCTAACTGCGGTCGTTTTACACATTATATACGGGGGATATCGCGACCGAAAAGGTCTCTCCTCGCGATCAAATCCTTGAAAAGTTCCACCGGGGGTGGTCCTCTTACACGCGTTTCCCCAAAGTGGACTTCTCGGCGCATTCATTATACTCCTCCTCCTCCTCCTCCTCCGAGAGTTTTCGAAAGATAGATACCGGGAACAAAACGGGATCGTATAGATTTAGAATTTAGAGTAGCATAAAGTGTAAAACCAAACTGTCTGTTTGTTTGTAGTTTTCAAACGGATTTCCTCGCGTATGAACTACAACAACAAGAGAAAGACGGTAAATGTCAAACATATAGCTTTGAAGTCGAAAGCGGAGAGATAACTTGTAGTGTAGTAGTAGGAAAACTAGACTGTTGCAATGAGTGTGTAAGTGTAACGTGTGAGTATAACGTAACACAAGAGAGAGAGAAAGAGAGTGCGCGCGGATAAAGAAGTTTGCAAGACCTAGTTTTAAATAAATTTTCGAAAAAACTTCGTCCAAGAGTAAATGATCAATTAGATCAATTGTCTGAGATATAATGAGTTAACACATCGACAAAGTAATAAAATTGCTTTAATTCTTATTTAACGATGCGATCAGAATTTTTCAAAAATTAAAGAAAAACTATTTTGCGAGAAGAGATTTTTTATTGAATTGGAAACAAATCATTTTCGTATTATATCGATCCGAATTAATGAAGTGCCGCAACTTGCAAACCTCGGATTGTCACGGTTGAACAAAATTTTTCCAACTTTTATACAAAGCCATTTGTCATTGAAATTCGTTTCGGCCATCATATATAATTGCAGGCGTCCAATTAGATATAAAATCTCAAGCACACACTTGCACGCGCATCAGAGAGTTTTGAGAGCATTGTCGTAAGTTTGAAAAACGAGTTTCTCAAACTCTCTCTCTCTCTCTCTTGTTTTTTTTCTTTCTTTTCTTCTTTTTTTCAGGCCACGAGACACAAGTAGTCCTTTTTTAAAGTGAAGGGTCGCGTAAAGCAAATTCGCGTGCGGCACGCTTTAAAACTTTAAATCTTTATCTGGATCGTTACCGCCCTCTCTCTCTCTCTCTCTCTCTCCATCTCACAATTGTTAATGCAGTTATTATATTTCGGTAATGCGGCTATATAATTTTGTCGCGTGACATCGGATTTATTGTCTAGTTAACAAAAGTGACAATACTGCGGCAAAATAAACGAGAAAGAAAAAACGGGAAACATTTTATCATTTAACGTGAAAAAAAAAAAAAAAAAAAACGCAGTTTATCTCGTCAGAGATGGAATTGCGAAACAAGTACACCTTATTACGTAACACCACGATGTATGAAGACACATTGAGTGCATTATTTTAGCATAATGGAATTTCTAATATATATATATATATATACGATACGACGCGCTCTTTCTTGCGATATCATACTTGATTGTTATATATTCGTGAAATTTAATTGGAGAACAGAAGTCGAATAAATTTTTCTACGAGCAAATCTCAAAATCCAAACCCTCGATCTGTCGGTGACCTGGTTACTAATTTCACGCGCGTGACAGTCGCATTACGTGTGACCTTTTTTATATATATATATATATATATCTATATCTATATATATTTTACGTGTGGCGAAAGTGCGCACACGTAGTTAAGAGAAATTAAAAAGTTTAAAGTGTTTTCACGAGCGTTGTTGCAATAATTTACAAGCATGTTACCGCGTTTGCTGCAAAAAAAATTGCGAATAGTCGTATAAAAATATTATATTGAAAATTAGATTGCATGTGTTACATTTTTTTCAAAATAATTATATAAGTATAAAAAATTATTAAATAATTACGGAATTATTTCTGTGACATTAGCGCACTTATGTGTAGCAAAATTATGTCGACTTCTAAAATCCCTCTTCCCAGCTGCTCCGTGAGCGCAC